CCGCCATGTCAAAGCTGTACGAGTGGAATCCAGCTTCCAACGCATACTCCGTCCAAAGGGAAGTCCTCCAGAAACTGACGACATCCGGATACAGAGGATCACCAAACTGTAAATAGCCACGAGGATCCCTTGGGTGCTCTAGAAGAAATGCCACCTCTTTGTTTGAAGACACCCCGGTAGTAGATCTCACCCGACCAGCCATTGAAAGTGCATGTAGATATATCATGCGGGTCAGAAGCTGAGTTTCTCTGTTGGCCTTCCAAACATCTGCCTCAGGCTGTCCTTGCCATCCACCATACAAGAACTCTGGAGACCTCACAGGCTCTGGACCTCCTGCAACATGTCTTGAGATCATAAACGTAGATTGAGGAGGACCACCGATGATCGCAGCGATCTTACCAGTCCGAGCTGCGAACTCCAACGCTCGCCAGACCAATGGCTGCAAAATATCCTGTGTCTTGCCTCGCTCGATATCCAGCTCGAGGATGGTGTAGCCATGTCCCTCCAAATACTGTAGGTTTTTTCTCTCTTGCTTTCCACGGAACAGGTGTACTAGCCATTTGTCTGAGGCCCATAAGCGCTTCCTGGTTCTTCTGTTCAGGTGCTGTAGTCCCTTGAGAGACTCCCAACCATTTGCTTCTGGAAACGACTCAACCAGGCCCTCCTTGCAAGGCTTTGGCACCTCCTGCAGAAAAGGGGCTGCCTCGATCGCCTTCAAAGCTTCCGAGGCCATTGCACCATCCACATAGGACATGAGGAAATCAAACCACGTTCTTTCCATTGCTAGCGCTGCTGCCTTTACCCGCCTCTTGGTTGCATCTGTATTACTGCGAAGAAGCTCTAGATTTTCATCCTCAAGCCGAGCTATTAGGCGAAGCGCATCATGCTCTGCAATTTCAGGACATCCCTCACGTACTCGTAGATTGTAGGCATCACCATCTCTGCCCTCAAGTCTGCAACGATTGCTGTTCCACGTCATAGTGTAGCCCAGTTGTCCCACCAATGCTCCAAGTGGTACTATAGGAGCCGACGAATTCATAGTAGACGTTGCTGTCGAAGGCACCAGAATAGTCCCGGCTTTGTTCATCCGCAAACTCACAGACTCTCCACCGGCCAAGTTAACTACCACTGGCTTGGCCTCAAGCCATTCCGCCTCCGAGCGCGCTTGTCGTAGAGCATGTGTTGCACCTGAGTCCACAAGGGCAAAGGTTTGTCCCCCGCCACCAATCGGATAGTGAGCTTTCAAAGACACCACATTGATCGAGGGGGTACTGCTTGGAGCTGCACCTGCTACCTTCGCGGCTGCCTGCAGCAAGGTTTCCAAAGTCCATACGGGCTCCCCTGACACGACTGTAGTAGACGATGGAGAAATTTCGCCCTCAGGTTCCGCCTTCACTGTGCCACAGCCGGGGCCAGGGTAGTCGATGTAGCTGCTGCTTGTCCTCCTCCTCCTGGAAGATTGGGCCTTCCAGCTGGTCTCGGCGCCTTAGTAGGACACTCACGTTGACGATGATCTTCTCCTCCACATACTAGACACCGTTTTGCACGCTCAGCCTTTGAGAGATGCGACATGTCGTGGTTATACGGGCACTTTGCACCTCTCCGACACCCGCTCGGCTTGAAAAAGTATTTGCACAAGCCCTTGCCGGATCCCGTAGTCGTCTGAGGTCCTGTTGAGGTAGGTGATGTCGGAGTCGATGTAGCACCCATAGCTTTAACCCTGACCGGTGCTCCCAGGTGGCCAGGTCTCGAAGCAATCAGCGCTTCCATCTCAGCCTGTAGATGTTGTTGATAACGTGAGACGTCTGCCTGTGACGGCTGGGTGTCGATGCGTAGACTGGACCTGAGCAGCTGAGTGCGAAATTGCGCATCCAGGTTCTCCGTCATAAACTTCGAGGTCGTTGTAGTTAGGGTCCTGGCTAACACCGAGGTCACGACATCTCTGCATCCACCTTGGCCACGCACGAAGCCACACCAAGCACTCTTCCATGGTTTCAAACTGCGCTGAACTTTGAAGATTGCTCAACACTGTGGACCTTTCAGACGCTCCTCCTGGTTGATACGTAGTGTGAAGTCGGAAAAGAATCATCGGGGAACTTTGCACCGCCCTTCTTGCGATGAGGTCGTGCTTGACTGTATCCGGTAGGCTTTGAAGCACCAGCGAGCATGCCCTTGCGTTCACCCTTGTCCACTTACCCTTCGTCAAAGCCTCGTGGTCCCTCGGCTCAAGTTGCAGCCGCTCCAGAGGCGAGGCCGCAAGCCACTTAGAGTAGGTGTCCTGCACTAGGTCCAACACTTGAGTCCACCACGAACCTGACGAAGAGGATAAGTCTTGCATCGGAACCGCCACCTGCGCCAACCAGTCTTGCAGCAGTATCCCCATGGCATTTCCCTCGGGCGGCGGCAATGTTGGCAGCGCAATTGTTGTGCTCTTCACCTGCTCAGGAGCTTCATCCCCATCAAAATCCCGTTTGAGCGACTTCTCCTGGAGCTCCTGAAGACTGGTCAAATTGCGGGTAAGTGCCTCCAGGATCACAGCTGTAGAAGATACTCCTGCTTGCTCCTCCATAGGGGGTGGAGCAGCTGTCTTCGGAACTGACGGCTGTCCAGACCGACTTGCAGTCAGCTCTTCCCACAACGCCCCAAGAGGATCGCGCCATGGATTAGGACGAGCTTCCCCCCTTTCACCTGGATCACGACTAGGTACTGTAGGGCGATCAGGTACACTAGAAGGAGGCCCTGCATATATCCCATCGCCCCGAACTTCAGCTCCGCCTTCATGTGCTGGTACATCTTGTCTGCTTTCTTGTTGATATAGTCGAGAGGCACCCGCTGCGCCCATATTTAGTGACTGAACATGTACCAACTGCTCCTGAAGACGATGGTTGTCATTCTCCGCTTGCTGCAGTCTATCCAGTAGGCTTCCTAACTGTCGTTGGACTTCAGCTTGGATCGCTTCTGCCGGAATGCTGCTGCTGCTTGGGGTATAATGGTGATTAGGGATTACACCCCCTAGAACCCTACCATCAACACCACCTGCACCTTGCCAAGGACCAGAGTTCGATGGCGCTGCTGGGTACGTTGGCGGCGACGCCACCACACTGCTTGTCTGCTCCAGTGTACTCCTCGGCATTGGCGGCGACGGCATAGGACTTGGTAACCATTGCACCGAAGGCGCCTTGAACATCTCACCAAGGCGGTTCACCCAGCCAGGCCAAATTCCAGACTGTCCTCCACGCGGACCCAAAGCAGAGCCCGTTCTTGACCTCGATGATCTCGGGGTATGAAAAACTCCCGTACCCGAGCCAGTTGCAATATCTCGTTGAACGTCCACCTCCATCTGCACTGGTTGTTGCGCAGCTGACATCACCCTGCTTGGTCCATCTTGGTTGGACGTGTCTGCACTGGCCTGTAGTCCCTGCGCCACAACCCCTTCAGAGTTTACCGCTCCACTTTCCCCATTGGGATCACCATCTTGCACCATGGCGGTCGTTGTGGACGATGGACCAGGGGCCTCACTTGCTCCTCCACCGCCTTTTTCACCCTCCGCCACAGCTTTGTCATTCATCTGCAGCTGATCAGATCCATCCGCCAAGGAGGGACCTGATCGCGCTGCTCCGGTTTCCTCCGCCCAACCTCCCGACGGTCCAGGGAGTCCATTCACTTGCGGCTGCACAGCACCAGCTTGGGCGCTCATAACCTGATGTACAGGATTCACGGTGCCAGCTTCCATTGCGGACCTACCTGCGTCGGACGAATTGATTTTTTTCACGGC